AAGCGGTTCAGGCCTTCGGGTGCAGGGCGTAGGGCTCGTGATGGTAAGGGATTCTGATGTACAGGCTTTGGCATTTTTTAGTACTACTGTTGATGATATAAATCCTGCATTACCCATAATAAGGAATATACCATAATTCCCATAGTCTAGGGCCATTAAGGTAATGCAGGATTTGTCTCATCAACCGTATAGCTGGCTGTGGCTGTCGCTTTCATTGTCGCTGTCGGTGTTTTTGTCGCTGATGGTGTGATTACGGTCTGGGTTGCTGTTGATATCGTTGTTACCGCAATGACACAAACACCAAGGCCGCGGCTGCTGTGCTCGCAGCCTTTTGATCACGGCCGCCGCGCCACTCGGCCCGACGCGTTCGGCCAACGAGCGGCCGACCAGGAGCTGCAAACGCATGGGCCTGCCCGAACCATCAGGAGACAGCCTTGGAAGGTCACGGCCAACACGTGGTGTAAACAAAAAACTGCTGTTCCCGACAGTCAGACAGCTAGGCCACTGAAACCGGGCACCCTTCCATACTCTGCCAAGCTGCCATATGCTTCGGTCAGAATCTCGGTCCGAACCCGGGGGTAATAAATCCGCAAACAAGAGCTGACGAGACAAGCGCCGCACGGCCGCAATCAACACAACGGCATGAACCACGGTTCCTCCTCCAGCCCGCAAGGGGAATAGAACCGGTGCCGGCTTGTTGGCTGGAGCTGGCTCGTCAGAGTCATCAGCACCAGGTATAGACGAAAGGTCAGCAATGGCAGCCTGCAGCAGTTTGTTGCTGATATGCTGTGTCCCCTGCAGTGTCTTATGCAGCTGCAACAATGACTGCTTTGTTCCGAAGGCATGAGTTGATCCAAACCTCCGGCCTCCGCTTCGCTCAGCAGAACACGCGACGATATTGCCAAATGCAAGCTTGGATGTGCCGCGCCAACCACCAACTGGCTTGGACAACCAACCTTAGCGGAACCCACGATGTGAAGCAACGTGAGGTTAACAAAAAAACTTGAACCCGTGTTGTGCGAAACCAAGGAGCTTCGAACAGCTGCATATCCACGAAGACTGGCAGCTTGGGTTCGATACAAACCGGTGGAACCATACCTGGACATGACGGCGCCGGTTGTTTCGGCAATGACAACCCTAATGTAAGGAGCGGCACGGGTCTTGCTGGGGTTTGTCGAAAGTTCAACACCCCGGCAAAGAATGTTCAACAAGGTGCCCATTTGGCAGCCAGTGGATTCCTCGGCCTCTTCCGGAGATGCCAAGCCCAATGGCTTTGCTTGGGAACTGTGTTCACCCTGGCTGCGAAGGGCGCGCCTGGGCTGAAAGGTATCTGACGCTGTTGAGTAATGGTTTCTTGAAACCTGCCGGAACCCGGATTCTGTAAACGCTTTTTCTACAACTTGCCCACCTCAATTTTCGGAAGCTCAGTCGGCATTCCATGGGCAGAACACAAAGCACCATTGTCACGGTAGCTCCAGTTCCGCCGTCGCCTCCTTGCGTGCAGTTGACCACCAGTGTTTTGGCTGGCAGCACATTGTCTGAGGGCACCTGTGTGTCAGGGTTGGGTTTAGGGTTCTTTAGGGTGTACGGTTTGGGGCCTACGGTTCAAGGTTTCAAAAAGCCTTGCGGCAACGGCACAGCAAGCAATGATAACATCAGATGGCTTAGTTACGTCCGGAAACGGAACTGAACTTGACAGCTTGATCGGTGCTAAGACAGTCAACACAAGAAAGATTGCGTTCATGTCGGCCAACATACTGAGTCAAGAAGATCTTGCTCGTCTTGTAAGAAAAAGGATGGCCAAACAGCTGCATGTGAGATGCTCTGCCTGTCGAAAAACCCGGGAGCGGTAGCAACGGTCACAATCATGTAGAATCATGTATGAAGACCACTGAAGACCGCACTACATACATCATTTTTGCAATGGCCGACCGGACATGCTTGCCCAGGCAGTGGAGAAGGGTTATATGAGAACTGCTAGCCCCCCTGAACGCCAAAGCCAGAATCATGATGAATCATGAACCATGGCCTTCTTGACCATGTCTCCCTTGCCTTCCGAGCATAGGGTCTTGATCCGCTCGTGAAGTTCACATTGTCTCTCCGACATGCTGGCTTCTGTCCTGACATGGGAGTGTCCCCCCGAAAATAGGGAACCCTAATTAATATAGCATGCTAAATAGTAGGATCCTTGTTATACGGGGCTATACGGGTACCCTTAATTTTTGAAAACTCCCACAGGGATAAACCCACAAAATGACATCATCGTTGCGAGAGCCCCAACCTGATTTGAAACTCCGGGCAGCTGACAAATCGTGTATTTCCTCATGCCTTTGCAAGCAAGGTGCACTGCTGATGCCTCCATTTTGGCATGGACTGTGCGACCTTGACGTCGCTGCAGCTGAACTCCGCAAAATGCGACCTTGTGCAGTCTGCGCACAGTACAATGGCAAACACTGCCTAGTTACAGCACGTCCTGGGTGTGGCGGGCTGTTTGTGGAGGGGCAGCCTAACTCCCCCGGCCGTGTCTTGCTGCCTTCCAAAGCACAGTGCCCCAACTTGCAGCTGCCTGCTTTTGTGCCTTAGTTTTGCTGCACTTTCGTTTTCATTTGAAACGTGCTCTGCCGCCACTCTTGCAAGCTCCGACGGGTCGACAGTCTCTAAACTTTCATAGAAATCCGCAATGCCACCGGATCACGTGTGCTTGTTCTTTGCCTGCACGAGGTCTGGAGCAGATCGGTGCGACGCGCCAGTTGCCGCAAACGGCAGGCACCAGCGTAGTCGGGAAGCCCATGAACCATTGCAAGGCGTCAATGTTGCAACATATCCGCGGGATGCACGTCCCTTGCATTGGAAACATGCAAACATGTGTTGATTCTGTTTCTGCTTCCATTGCACTTCCAGGCCCTCAGTTTTGTTTTACGAACCACCACATTTTACGTCTATCAATCAAAGAAACCCTGCTCGCGAAGTCTGGCAGTCTTGCGCCTGCATGTTTTAAATTGTTTTAGCATGATACCGGCTTACCTGCTAAGGGCCAAGCTTGTGGCTGCCATTTTCGCCGATTCGGTTGCGAACCATTGCAGGGAGGCTGTCCACTCAAACTGTGCAAAACCAGAAACATCCTGGGTTCGAGGCGACTCCACGTAGCCAGCCTGCAGGACCAGAGTTGCAGCTCGAAAATTTCAGCACTGCTTTCCCACCCCCTCGAAATGCCTGCATCTCCAATGTCCAGCACAGGATGCTTCGCAGGCATGGCAAAACATAAAGTCCACAAGTGATCGTTTGTTGTGTCCTGTCCGCCATGCCAAGTTCTGCAATATCCGACCAGCACGGCATGCCAATGATAACATGGTTGCGAAACCACCCATATGCACGTGCAACGCCGTACTTCGAGAGACTATATCAAACCTAACAACGGTAACTTACTTGTTTTTGTTGTTTTGCACTTGTCTGGTCGTCCACTTTGCAGGGCCATTCGAGTTTAAAGTCGAAACTTAACAAACAAACCCGTTCCCATAGCACGATATGCTACAGACACTCTGCGGCCGAGGCATATTCTTTCCAGCCAGACACATGGTGAGCCGAAATACTGCATAGCATTGACATTATGGGAAATCGACGCATGACACCAGGTGTGCTGGCCAATTCTCGGCTTCGGTCAGGCCTGCATGGTTCCTGGTCAACGTGGGCGGTGCCAGGGGAAGGAATGGAAGGGAGAGGAAGGGAATGGCAGGAAGCAGTGAACGCAGCAACACAGGAACCGCGGTAAGACCCTTTTTGTTTCTGCGGTGATCGAACTACTTAGACAAGTTTCTTTGTACAGTCAGCAACCTTGGAGAGGATTGCGAGTGAACGGCAACGTTTGCGAACGGTAACAAATTGTGCTTTGAGTGGAAAGGAACTGCAGCGTGTTTACTGTTTGTGTAGGAAGTGTCGGAGTCACCTCAGTCGAGGAACTTTCGCTAACTCCGCAGGCGGGGTGTTAATTAAACATTTTGCCAGGAACAGTAACACCACTAGTGCAGTGTAGCTAATGCGCAGGAACAGCCGAGTCACGTCCGCGGCGCCTAGGCTCGAGACACCGGACACACTGCCGCGTGAGCAGGAAAAGTGACCGTCAGTTTTTGTTTGTAGGAACCCTTAGTGAAGCCCGTTCTTTAACTGATATTAAGGAGTTCCTCAAACATTGCGCACCAATCGAAAGGGAACTGACGGGACGGGACGGGAGAGGGAGGGGGAAGGGGAACGGGAAGGGGAAGGGAAGGGAAGGGAGGAAAGGGAAGGGAAGGAAGGGAAAGGAAGGAAGGGAAGGGAAGGGAAGGGCGAGCAGGCTTGAATCTAACGCCCGAACGCCGCCCAAAGCCAAAACAGGGAAAACGTATCGCATGGTGAAAGCATCACTCCACACGTTTGTTGCACATGGAATGCTGCGGGTGCTTCAGGTCCGAAACGATGGAATCAATCAAGCAATCTTGCATGCTTCTGTACCATTATCGAAATCTTCAACGCCGTCATATACCACAATACATCCAAACCAAACCACGTGCCCCAAGCGTCTCGACAGGCAGCAACCGCAAAGGCAACAGATTGTGCCATTCTTTCCTCCCCTTCACACCACCGCATCTGCAAAGCTACTAATGAGCACCCTGCCCAGCGAAAACAATGAGGATTGCGAGGAAGGCCTTGATAGAGCTACTAGCAATCATGTGTCGAAAAGCTGTTTGCAAGCGCCTGCCGGTATTGATCACGTACAGGCCCATGAATCCATGCTGGGAACAATTCGCCCGCAGCTCTGGCTGTGGGCAGTTTAAGTACTTGCTCACTGAACGTGCCTCGCATGTCACGCAGAGTCACTCTAGAGTGATTGCATCAGACATGTTTGTTGCAGACTTGCCTCGGCAATGCCTTGGCTCAACTGACCGGGTGAAAACATTTGCTCCGTCTGTGCATTGCTTGAGCTGTGACCAACACAGGGTCATCAGCCGTAGCCCGAAGGTGCCATGGCGACCGACGATGCGACCTCAGGGCACATCTACATTAAAGATCTGCCAGAAACTGGTTCTGATTATGAGGGCTGGCGCTTCAGTTTGAAGAATCAAATCTTGAGTGTAGCACCGGACCCAGTTGCTGCCATGGCTTATATCAGAGAGCTTGATGATGAATCTGTTTCTTTTGGCGATTTGGCGTCAAACTTGTCCGTAGACATGAACAAAACAGATGTGAATGTTTTCGCGGCAGTGGTTGCCGCATGTCACAAGGGAAAGAAAGGATCAGAGATTCTCAAGCTTATACAATCACGTGCACAGTTTGGTTGTGGTCGTCAAGCTGTCCGCATCGTTGACCAGCGGCACTTGCATGAGTCAACACATTTTGCCACGGAGGCTAACACCAAGATTCAAGAGCTCAGTTGTTCTGGATTGTCGGAGCTTGACAGCTACATGGCATCTTTTTCGTTGTATCGCCACCAGATGGGTTCCGGCGAGCATAAGCTCACCAATGCTGGGGGCATTGCGCTTCTGAAGCGCAAGCTCAAAGATATCAAAGAAATGGATGCCACTTTTGCCGTTTTCAATGCCAGCAATTCTGTGGATCTAGACGCCTTGATATATGCCATCAACGGTTTGGTTGCACATCACTCTGAGGAGATTGAGAGGCGAAAAGCACAGAAAAAGGCTGCTGCGGCCAAGGTCGCTGCTGCCACGGCAGCGGGCGGCAAATCACAGGGAGGCAAAGGCAAGAGCAAAAACAAGAAAGGCAATGACAAGCCGTGTGATCATTGTCACAAGCCCGGACACACAGCACAAAGGTGCTGGTTGAATCCAAAGAGTTCCGGGTACAGACCGGACTTCGCGGCGAAGATCAATGCCTCTTCGTCAAGCGGTGGGGCATCTGCGCCGCCTGGATTGGGGGCAGCGTCCATGGGCGCTCGGCCTGGGCCTGCAGTTCCGGCAGATGTCCTCACCAAAGCGTTTTCGGAGTTTCTCACCAAACGTTTCGGTGGCTCCGCGTGGCTTGCCGATGTCAAGCTTGACGATCTTCAACAGTTTGCAGGTGCGGCATGGGCTCTGGATTCGGTAGCCAGCCAGTTCTGCATCATGGGCGACAATGCCGATGATGACGCTTGGGAGACATGCAAAGTGCAGACTGCGATATCGACACAGGCGCTGGCACGGCTCGGCCAACAGCTATGGTGGACGCCATGGTTCCGCATCTCGGGCGTCGCTCGGCTATGGTGATGCCGGACTCTAAAATCAACATGGCGTCGATGGGCGAAACTTGCGCCGAGCTGGGGTATCATTTCTACTGGCCCGCATGGTCTGAGCAGCCACATTTCTGGCGCGACGGTGTTTCCAGCGAGGTGCCGCTCACCATGGTCAATCGCGTCCTATTTCTATTGACCGCAGTCGGTGCTGGTCCGGCAAGCTTGATTGAGGCTGCAAGCGACACAGACTTGAACGATTTCTTCGCTCACATGTTTCGGGAGTTTTGCCTGACGCTTGGTGAGACAGAGCTCGCTATAGCTCGCTAACCTTTCGGTTCCCCTTGCATTGGCGACGCAGCCTGCGGATCAACATTGCTTGGCTATGCTTGGCTCACCCGAAGAACCCCACCTGCGAAGTGTGCTTGCAAGCAAAAATGTGTCGAGCTCCAGCGGCTCGCAAAAAGCAAGCTGTCGAAGATGACAAGCAGACAGCTCGAGTTCACGGGGAACGCATTCACTGTGATCTTGTCGGCCCCAGCATCAATGACGAGGTGTATGCCATGATTACGCATGATGATGCAACGGGGTACCCGGCAGCACGTGCTTTGCGCACCAAGCAGGCTTCCGAAGCCGCTGCCGCTTTCGACGACATGTATGGGAACCAGTCAGTGTCTTCAGTCCGGACGGACAATGGTGGCGAGTTCCAGGGCGAGTTCGCCGCCAAACTCAAGGAACGGAAAATCCGACACGAACGTTCCTTGCCACGTCGACCTCAGACAAATTCCCGTGCTGAGCGATTCCACCGCTCAATTGCGGAAGGTATGGCTTGCCTTTTTGTTGCGTCTGGAGTCCCGTATGCTTTCTGAACGTTCTGTCTCATAGCCTTCCTGTTTGTGTATGCGCGCAGCCCGGGTGCAGGTGGTGCTGACTCACCCTACCAGATGCGCTTCAATCGTTCTTATGATTTGAGCAAGTTGCGTCCATTCAGAGGAACATGAGAAGTTTGCATCTCGTGGACGGCTTGGTGTGGTGTTGGGGTATAGCCGCTTGCAGTCATACTACGTCCTGGATTTCGAACATTACGTCGAGACGAAGGGCGAAGCCCGGATTGTGCACACACGTGATGCGCGCTTCCCCCCTCAGGTGCGCTGGCCATTTCAGGAGCTGGGCATGGACAACCCTGATGCGGCATACTGGGCCCAACGTTTGTTCAAACCGGGGGTGTTGCAACCAACGCCCGTTGCTGGAGATGACGGCCGATGTGTACTTTGCGGCTTGTGGGCCACTGATGCGGACATCCACTGCCGTGGATGTTTGCTTGGCGGTGGTCGTCGTCGGCATGTGGATGGCCCCGGCTGCCTTCCCGCTCGATGTGGTGGTCATGCGTTCCTTGACGTTCAGCCTCCTCCGGGCTCGCCCGAGACGAGCATGGACTATTCCCCAAGCACTCCACACAGCCGTGATGGGGGCGTCATCGACTCCTCCATGGCTTCGTCAAGCTCCAGGTTTTCGACATCGCATGACGCACACGATGATGAGGATGACCTGGGCCCACCGCCTGACGATGAAGGCGATGGACGTTGCCATATACGGATGCCTTGCCACGCAAGCCGCGCTGGCGAGTGGGCTTGTTCGCTGATGCACAAATGCCTCCCGAACACAATTATGGCCCCCATTTCGATGACAGCATGGATAGTGGCCTAGTGCCGCCTCGCCCCGACTTAGCGCCATCAACTCCGCTGTCAAACCAGGTTGCCGCCGATACTTACATCTTCATCCGAGCGATCTCGGTCCCACCGCGGGTCGCATCCATCGGATGCGGATTCGGAGCGCACTTCTCAAAGCCCAATTGTTGCGCAGAATCCCGTCTCAAGTTCATCTCCATCCCAGGTTGGATCACACCCATCAGATGCGGATTCGGAGCGATCCAGGCCGGCCTCCAGCAGTCACAATCGGACCAGCACGGAGTTACGGCCAGACGGCATACACAGTTCGGACGCTGATTCGGAGAGATCGCAGCAACCAACCAATGATCGCGACAATGCAGCTATTTCCTCCACGGTGAAGTTTGAAAGCGATCGATCTGGGCTCAGCACAGTTGTCCGTGGTGGGACGGTTCTCACAACGCCTGCAGCACTTAGGCTTGAACAGGAGCTGGACAAGCTGACAACTGAGCTGGGGAAGATGTTCGCTTGCGTCACCAAGATCGTCAAACGAAGAGATCCAGAGTGGGACACAAACGCTGCGCGTGAAGCTATCCGCAAAGAAGCGGCAAACCACGCGTCGAAGCGGACTTGGGAGTCTGAGGCATGTGAATGGGAAACTGCTGTGGCCAAGTACGGCCCTGATGTGGAGTACGTGCAGGCAGACCTCATCTTGGGGAGCAAGCATTACGAACTCGAAATCCCAGCACCGATTCAAAGCTCGCATAGTCGCACTCGGGGACAACGTTCGCGACATTTACGGCCGGCTTGTGGAGGAAGACCAATTGCACGGTCGACCCATCACGCTTGAAGGATCACGGGCGCTAGATTGCTATGCCGGTTTGCAGCCTGACGGCGATTGTCAAACTGCTGATGCTGACGGTGCCTATTTGCAAGCTCGACTCAAAGGTCGTCCGAAGGTGATTTGTTTACCAAGAGAGTTTCGCACACAATCCGAACTGGAGATGCGCTGTCCTGTGCACTTGTTGTACATGGCCATCTACGGGCTCACACGTTCAAACAGCGATTGGGAAGATCATGCTGACGACCGGTTGTTGCTTAAGCATTGGCTGCAAGCTCGTGACATTGAGCGCCCGATTTTCAAGAAGGAATATAACGGGCACATTGTGGGCATGGGCCGTTTCGTCGATGATTTCAAGCTGGCGGGACACAAACCCGTGTTACCACATGCATGGGCTGAGATTTTCGAATGTTTCGATTTCGCGGACCCGCCGCAACCTGTCAGCCGATTTGTAGGCTCCGAGGAGATCTTATCGCGCGACCAAGCGGATGCCACATGTCTGGTGAAGCAGGATGCGTACATCGACACCCTCACGAGAAAGTACATGGATGAGATTCGTGCATACAGACTTCCAAGATACGACACCAATGATGTTTCAAACATGAGCGAGACAGGTCAGTTTGCATCAAATTGCGGTTCCTACGTGGGGGCTGGATTGCGGGTAGCGAGGAACAGTCGTCCTGAGATCTCATTTGCTGTCGGGTGGTTGGGTCGGTACACCACAAAATGGACAAGAACACAGGATGCTGCCTTGCATCGTTTGATGAGGTATTTGGCGGCGACTAGGTCCTTCGCACTTAGATTGGTTCTCAATCCTGTCGATGTGCAGCAACGCACTCTGAAGCTAGTATTGTGGGTCGATTCTGATTGGGCGACGGATCCCGATACCAGGCGATCGACATCAGGAGCCGTTTTGCAACTTGCTGGGTCGCACGGCACTCGCGCGTCATTTGCTTGGCGATCGCATCGTCAAGGTGCTACCGCATTGTCGGCACCAGATGCTGAAGCGACGGCCATGGCCGAAGGTCTCAAGCGCCACGGGATTTATGCACAAGATCTTTTCGAGTTTTTGCTGGGATACCGAGTTCCATTAGACATCATGACCGATTCAGCAACAGGAATTGCAGCAATCCATGACGCATACGGCGTCCTCAAGTACATGAAGCGAACGCAAAGTGTGCCTTTGTCATGGTTGCATGATGTGAGCATGGATCCCGACAACAACATCAACAAAACCAGCACCGACGATAACCTTGCTGATGTCATGACGAAAGCATTGGAGAAGAACAAGTTCCAGCATTTTTCACGGCTCTTGGGAGTTCACCCGCATGGTTGAGATTGACATGCTTTGCTCGTCTCAGCATGGTTGAGCATGATATTGAACGAGTGATTGACCGTTGATTGAATTTTCATGATCATGCGCATGTATTGCTTGATTTTCCGCATGATTTCACGGTTGATTTTTGATTTCATGGCTGATTTCTTGATTTCCAGTTGTACGAACCTTGCAAGTTTTCTTGGCTGCTGACTCGCTCTGCGAAACCAGTTCTGAGCAGCAGCCAACGTACCAGCCGCATGCCATCAGCACTACTGTACAGCCCACAGTGCTTGCAGATTTTGGCACTCTCGGCAGGCAGTACACAAGTCTGTGCACTCTGATTCCATTTTCTGCTTGCAGACTTTGGCAGTCGCTGCAGTCACCACACACGTCTGTGCACTTTGATGCCATTTTCGGGTGTTTCCGTCGTGTCGCTGATCAATGTTTACGCATTTTTGCCAGCATGGCCGAAGCCTGATTACCTGCTGTTTGGGGGCCACTAGTTAAAAAATCACGGAGCTCCCCCCCAAACCCAGGCATCTGTTTTATTGCGTGGTTCAGCTGGAAACTGATTCAATTGTGCAAGGGACGGAGACCGCAGCGCCGCCAGCAACAGGGTATTAATAAAACGCAAGAAGACAAATAGAAAAAAAAAACATAAATATATATATATTACTTCGAACATCCCCACCCTAGCGCCTTGTCCTTCCTACACCCAGATCCTAAGACCCAAAGTTGGGATTGGGCACTCCAGGGGTTCTCACGGTAGTCTGTGGGGTTGGGCGCTCCCAGGATTCTCACGGTAGTCTGTCGGTTCTCACGGTAGTCTGTGGGGTTGGGCGCTCCAGGGATTCTCATTGTAGTCTGTGGGGTTGCGCACGGGCACTCCACGGATTCTCACGGTATTCTCCCGGCACTCTGTTACCCCAGGAAGTCATCTCAGCGGGCGAGGAGTAATTGCTGACTTTCAAATCTAACAACCCCACACCGAGGGTGGGAAATAACAGAATACAACTAATGACAACTTAGCTACGTGTGACGCTTGGTGATCATTTGTTATGTAATGGCTCACCAGTGGCTCACCCGGTCAACACGTTGTTCCATGTTCCGGCACAGCCTGCCTGCACGCGTTTTTTTCTACGGCGCCGCCCGGTGCTTACGTCCGGTGCCTACCGTCGGCGGTTTGCATGGTGCAAAGTCACGGAGCGCTTGTTTCCCTGCAGGCCGCAAGAGCTTGGTCCATGGAGCCACCGAGCCATGCCGCTTCCTGCTAGTGCGTGAGCACCGCAAGCCAACCGTGCTCGCAGAGTTGGTTTGCCCGCTATCGCCGCTTTTGGACACAGATGACACAGATGACACAGACGCGCTGTGCAATCGGTACAAGGAGCGCAGCAGCACGATTCTGGTGGTTGAGACGGGGATATATGGGGATGGCAGCACACAACCACCACTGCCAGCCCGTGCTCGAGACGCGTTTCATTGAACGGGACCGCACGTTTCGGGCGGTCTGTGACGACAGCAGCAGCGGGACGCGGCGGGCTGTGCCTTCACGACATGTCATTACCATTGCCGAGTCGTTGCCCCACAGCGCTGCCCTTGCCGTGACAATGTCGACGTGTATGGCGACCATCGCCTCGTTTGCGCGCAAATTGGTGTGCTGGCCCGTCAAACGCCGCATCATGCTGAGCAGAGAAGTCTGCAGCGTCGGCCGGCCGCGAAGTCCGCCCGTAGGTGCGTTGGGGTGCTGCACAATACGGCAGCAGAGGCCATGTTGATTGCAAGCAGGGCTGCGGCGGCAGCTGTTGACGTACGGCGGACTCGGTCTGCGAAGCGCACGGCCCTGGCAGCCTACTAGTACTGGGTGGTGCAGGCGGGTGGTTGCACTGTGGTTGCATATGGTTGTTGGTGATGGGAGCCCGCGTGCCCGAATTTGTTTGCCTAATCGTGAAGATTTGAGAAGCAGAGGCGATGATGGTCATTGAAGCGCCCCTCCCGACACCAAATGCTCCCGGGTTTGAGGGTGGACCTGCGCTGTTAATGACCCCAGCCCCGCTGAATGGCTGGCAGATGATGGGCGACCCCAAATATAAACAATGCATACAATGCCCGAGTGTGCCACGGATCCAATGGAAGCAAAATCTTGAATAAAAAAGCAGGCGCAGTGAGCGGCACCCGCCTGTCCGTACCCGTGCAGGCAACTGTGTTTTGGGATTTCTTGCGATTTCTTTTTCCTTGCCGACGGAACTCCGTTCGGTTACCCTACCTCCACGGCTACAGCAAAGGCAGGCATGGGCAGGTGGCTTGGGGCCGTTTGCCTCATTCTGTCCCACCCACTCGCAGTTCACCAGTTGGTTGTGCACTCTGAGGATCATTGAGGATCCTTTGCGCGGCGTGCGATGCGTGCTGCCATAACAGGCAACACTACGACGTGTACAGGCAGCACTCCGACGTGTCGGAACACGCACGAGTAAAATTCAAATGAAATCCCACGCACAACCCGCACAGGCTATCACGGGCCTTGGTTAGCATCACATGTGGTATAGACCGTGCCAACCGCGAGCTGATGCTCCTTACAGCATGCGATTCACCAGCCATCGCTCTTCTGTTCTGCGTGCTGTTGATATGTCCGGAGCGCTGGTAAGCGCTCGCAGGACCCCATCGCTTCGAACAAGGCGATCCCCTGACGCGGATGGCTTGCGCATTCCGACTTGCGGTTGTTGTTGTTGTCGGCAGGTGGGCCTTGCCGGGCGCGGGACCGCCACAGGGCTCTGCAGCCCCCAGCGATTACCTTGTTTCAAAAACAAGCAAGACAGATCCTTTCAACAAACGGAGTACCTGACCGCTAGTTTCCGACCTGTGTTGAATACATGTTGAATGCAAGCCTACTTTATTCTTAGAGTGCAAAGGTCATGTGCTAGTTTGCGCAGTCCAAATCCCTTCCCATGGCACGAGGGGACATGCACGGTGGAATGAAAAAACTGCCCAGTGAAATTGCCCCCCGGCGCGCACCGCTCAAAACGCGCGGGTGCACCGCTGGCGGCTAGTTTTACCTCGCACTCCCGAGTCCGTTGAAGACAACCTTATGTTTCTGATAATATAGCGACACAAGGAATGAGGAAACTTACCCTCAACAGATTCGTCACTGTACAACAGCAGCCGCTCCGTTTGCGGCAGCACGCCATGCTGCGGCCTGCCCTCGTGAGCAGAGACCTGACTGGAACTCCCCGGACGAGCAAGAGATTGAGGATCCTGCAACAACGGGTGGCCCTCGCCAGCGACGAGCGCGCATTGGATTACTGATATCGGCTGTGCATCTGCTTGGCCCCGGTGCAACGGCCTTGCGGGCTCTGCAGAAAAGGGCTGCGAATAGAAAGCTCCCACTTCAGCTCGGTCCAGGGCCATTGGCGCGAATAAGGTGACGTCCGCCGGGCGCTCCTGCAGGGTTGTTGGAACCCGTTGGAGAAGTTCAGTGAAAGCATGGAAAGTTTCGGCATTGAAGAGGCTCCGGGTTCTGCGATGACTGCCTGCTGCACGGCAAACCTCCCGAAACCGGCATCCCGTTGTGCACGGGAGATACGGGAGTCGATGGTGCCAGCAGGCGCAAACATGCGAGAATCCACCCACGGAGAAGCGACGAAAAAGTGCTCAAGGAACTCATGCTTGGACCCGCCCTGGCTGGAATAACAGAAGCCATTCGGGGCGGGAATACAAACAGGTGGCTGCCATGGACAAGAGAGCATCGGGTGTATCAGCATTGGGCGCATCAAGGATGTGTTCGACAGTTGGGAGGCTTGCGGAAAGAGCTGCACGGCTGGACGACGTCCTCAGCAACCGCGGGCCATACAACCGGCCGGAGGCCGCAGGGGCAGCACAGGGCAGAGTGCCAGCTAGGTGGATGGTGGCTCGTCGGATGGATCTCTGTTTTCGGGTTGTCACCGTCGGGTTGGAACCGCTCATCCATTCTGAGGAGAGCGGCTCTACGTTGGGTAAAGTTCGGCATCCCAGGCAATCGAGGAGTCTTGTCACAGTGCCCCCCTCTGTGTACGTGACACGGTACTGGCGGATTCGATACCTCGGCCGCTGGCAGTTCGCGTCGTTTTATCCCTGCGGTCGCACGTCCCTCCGTGCCCGTCCATGACACCTCGAACGTCCACATCGATCCGCCACCCTTGCCAGCCGGCTCTTCGGGACTGCCGGCAGTCCATCTCCTTTTTACGCGGTGCTGCCGAGGAACACAGCTGAAGTTCAAGTGGCTGAGGCCGTTGCGTGGTCGTTTTGCATCGCTCTCCTTCCAAGCGGAGAGTGGCACAATTGAACTGCCAATCAGTTACCGCCGGCAGTACACGGACTGCTCATCCTCTTTCTGCTGGTCGCCATCGCTGCCTGCACACACCGACACTAACGCGACTACGCAACAGCGTCCGTACGCTCTTGAAACTGCCTGCGAGCAGGAGCAAACGCAGTGACCATCGCCCGACCAAACAGCGTCCGCAATTGCATGGGCGGTGTCAGCCCTGTGTTGTGCGAGGTGATGCAGAAACGATGTTGGTCCACAACACCGACGGGCGGCCAGCCAGCAGCGGCACACACACACACACACACACACACACTCGAATTCAACGGTGCAGCCCGACGGAACATCTACGTGCAGGGTCGCGTGTATGTGGGCCTCAGTGGTGGCGGGCAAGCCGTCTGCCACGACTTCGATGTAGCGCTCGCCGAATGAGGCTCCAGCTTCACGGCAGATCGGCACAGCTGCATTCAGGTGGCGCAACCTCTCGGTCTAAATATCACTGCCAAGCTGAGTCGTGTTCCCAAATGTATGAAAGATGGAAGCCCAATCGGCATTTCGATCGGTTCGTGCAAACCGTACCGAATCCATGCATCGAGCTAAATGCACGATCAGCTGTACTACGCCGCTGGCAACAAGGGCTGATCCAAATTACAGCCTACTGATGCCTAGGGATCCATCACTGAACTAGTCCTGGCATGCTGCCGCAGTTTGGTTAATTCCTGTG